CTGCCTTGCTAAGAAAGGAAACCGTAAAAGAGCTCAAATTGTGCCAATTTTATTTTGATAAATCACTAATTTTAAGGGAAACTTGATTATTTTCCTCCCAATTTTCTAAAGAGTTCTCTCACGATTAAATTTAGGGCCACTAAAAAAGAACGACAATCAATATTCATAAATGACTCTCTTAAAAAATATATTTTTTCTTCAGAGAATTTTGCCAGAATTCAGCTGATGTTCATGTAGCATTTATCCTTAGCATGCTAGTATAATGTAAAGTAATTACTCATCAACAATCTTGAGATTTCACTATCCCATCATTCATTCTATGTAAGATATCCTCTGAGACTTTTGCCTCTGGTATTCAAATTAAACTAACGAAGTGGCTATTCGTCGGTACGGTACCGACGGATAAATGGCTATTCGTCGGTACCGTACCGATGAATAAATAGCTATTCGTCGGTACCGTACCGATGAATAAATAGCTATTCGTCGGTACCGTACTTTGATTTTAGTACGTAAATTATGTTAAAGATATGATTTCTTAATAATATTTCGGTGGAAGTTAAGAGCTAAAGATTGGGTGAAAGATGGAAAAAAACCCCAACACGAGTTGTGAAGAAATATTCTCCAAATTTAATTTATGTATTTAATACTCTCACATAATACTGAAATGTACTACTCTGTCAAATAAATAGCCATTTATTCATAGGTACGGTACCGACGAATAGCCTCATCCTTAAACTAATGCTCTGGAAAAGGCATGCCAATCTGATAAGACTCATTAGTCATATAAATAATGTGTTTTACCCTAAATTGGGTGTTGAAAGGATATCGCCCTTTTGGAACTGAATTGTGTGGCACGGCTCTGTCATCTCGGGATCCTTTTTTTTCGAAGATGATTCTTTGGCAAGTACTGCGAAACATGCAACGAACAGAAAAGTAAACGGACCTGTTCACAGACATGAAAAGAATCGAAATTTCAATTCCAGGGGCGCTAAAAGCCAGCTAAGAACACAAAAAAGCAATTGAATCCGAGAACAAAGGCATAAACAGTATACACTTTTGATTTAGAATAAACGTCAATGCTGAGACACCCAATTAGGACGACGCCAAGTACTCTGTGGTGTTACCCCCTAAACTTTATCCATTCTGTCAAAAAAGATCCCGTCGCTAGTTTTAACCAAATTTGATCGTACATATCCGCGCCTTTGGAAGTATTTTCTTCGCATATTTCTAACTGAGGAACGTGTTTTTTTTTCCCCCAACCAGTCAACATCTCTATTTTACATTCTGAAAATGTTCATGCATGATGTTTTCTTTTGCCCTGAGTTCAGAAATGGGAACCGTCTTTTTACATCACATTACGTTAGATATTCAGGGAAATCGTGTTTCTCCATTCCCAGAAAGGTGTTTTCGGGGTCATGAAAACAGATGATTGCTAAAGAAAAACAGCCGGGACAGCCGGACCCGGACCTGGCAGCAAAACATTCTTGATAAATTTTATTTAGCAACCTTGAAAATTTTCCTGTCTCTCAGATTTGTAACGGAATTTTCTGAAAAATATTTTTAATGTGTACGCCATTTACTAACTGGTGCACCGGAAAATCTACGTTTTTTCATCTAGAAACACGCTCCTTTCAAGATGAAAAGGCACGTAAAAAACTTTTTTCCACATGCACGGGTTAATACATATCATCGAATTCTGCTGAGACTCACAATCAGTGTTTCTTTTTTCTTTTTTTGTCAAATGGATCAAGTCAAGGGAGCAAGACCAAAAAAATCCCACTTCTCTGCTTTTTGAAAATCACTTTCTCGCTTTCGATGAGGGCTTTCCCACCTAACGATTACAATGTGGCAAAGCAAGAGAGATGCATTTTCAGTCGTTCTACGCACACAGAGAAAAAACTTCGATTCATCCCTGATAGTAAAAATAACTACCATTCAACTATTTCAAATGCGTAGTCTCTTATAGTCACCTCATCAATTGCGGCATAAGTTTTCCTGTTAAAAAATATCGTCAGAATTGTACCCAAGACTTGGGTAACATATGACGCAAGTTTTCACTTTAAGTACATAGCACTATTTAACCGTAAACCCACGCTATCAGACATATCGGTGGTCAAACTGCAAAAATGCGTATCTCGGTTTACGGCGTTGCAGACTTCCTGTCATACTTCATTTTCGACTTGGAAAATCACCAAACGCCTTTTTTGAAAATGTTAGTGATTTTGCTTCTCTTCATGAAGAAAGTTTTGCGAAAACTTTAAGTCATGATGTTGCTTCGGTTTTTTTTTTTTGAAAATGTACTAGTAGCGGCGATTTTGAAACGCATCGCAACTGAGATACGCAATTTTACAGTTTCACCATCGATATATTCTGTGAATCCTTTGATACTGAAAAGTAAATCGATCGTTTTGGACTAAAACATTTTCACATTTTCCATTAGTGTTGTAAGCAACAAAACAAATTTTACATTAGTTTCGCTGTGTCAAACTCAATTTTTGAGCTTCTTCGCAGCTTTTTAAGGTGCAGTCATGTAGGGTGCTCCTTGTCACCAGATGCACCCTTTCCAGCCGTTGGGACCCCCCGATGTAACGTGTTCCACAGTAAAAAAATTCCTATCAAATAATCGTGGCTGATGATAAATGGCGGTCACCCACTAAGAAGTGACGTTGATGCCGAAAAACTCAAAATTGATGTACTGGAATCATTATTTTGGAGTGTTTCACGTGTGATTCAGCGCAAAAATTGTCAGGAAATGTCAGTTAACCGAAATGCCGGGATCATGGCGGTCTGATGTTAATCGCGAAAAAATTGATTATTTTTTTTTTCTACGAAGTAGACGATATTCGTGGTTTAAAAATATTGGATCACACTACCTTACGCGCTCAAAATGTACAAAAAAGCAACCAAGCGTTCGCATCGTGTTTTTTGAGATACTGGTGAATGATTTCCTTCGGAAATTTAACTCCAATTTTTAAACCAACCACTGGAAAAAACACATTGGATCTATAGTCCAGACTCTTAACAACATGGACAAGAAGAAATACTCTTGATTCAATCGGATTTTTGCTTAAATCAAGAACCAAGCCTCTTAATTTGAGCGGATTTCCTTTTGATTCAAGCAAAAATCTGATTGAATCAAGAGTTTTTTCTTGTCAATGTTTTCAAGAGTCGCGACTCTAGATTCAATGTGTTTTTTTTTCCAGTGACCGGGTGCAAATCGCAACCCTAACAATTTTTAACGCATTGCACGTTGCATTTAGGTGCCTTTTTCCGCAGACATCCGCATCAACACTGGATGCATTTTTCAATTTACTTCACCCTTCTCCTCTCCATAAGTGAACTACATTTTGCACCAAGGAACTACTATTTCCGGCTCATTTCAGGAACAACATGCATTCCTTTAGTGTCTCTGTGCAGATTGATCCTTTTACGGATGCGCCAGAAATAGTAGTTCCGTGTTGATCAGTGTCGATCAAGTTATTTACGCGTAATGTTTAACCAAATTCCCTCTAAAGTCTCTCCATTCTATTCCAATTTTCACTAATTTTTCGCACAATTTATAACAAAAATGTGACATCCTTCCTAAAAAATTAATTGCCTGTAATGGCTTCGTTACAGGCAATTATTTTTAATTAGTTTCAGAATGTAGGGCCTATGATCTATTCTCAATAAAACTATTGTAAAACGTGTAAAATATGTTTCTCGAGTATCACGTTGTTTTATAATTCCCGCACTTCCCGCACCTAATTGATCTAAAAACAGAGAAATGAACTTACTTCAAGTGCGCTTTCACTCGCAGATAATTGTGCACGCAGACAAGACCAACCATGAATTGGGATTTTAGGAAATGCTTTTGAATAGTTTTTCACGGAAGCATGAAGTATGACAGAGCTTTTCCAATATCGCAAACAAATTTATTTGAGCTCTAATATTAAAATACCTAATAGTTAAATTTTGAGGTGAAAGATTAAGAAAACGGAAGTAACTTACCCATGCACGGAGGTTAGATTCCTAAAAACAAGAACTACTCGAATTTAAACTTTCAATTATTCGGTGGCAAGTGGAGATGAAATAGTTTCACTTTTCTAACCGCGTGTTGCCCTGTATGTTGGTTTAGCCGTTCTACGCTTGTGCGGTATTGTCATGCCAGAAGGGAACAAGAGCTATATTAGCTTGGATGTGTCACACAAAATTTCGGTTATTTTCAGTCAAAACTTCACACGAACTTCACAATTCACACTCCGGCTTTCGACTTTAAAGTACCATGAGTTCGCTAGTTCAGCGGGAAAATAAATTCAAGGTTGTGTAGGAACGGTCCAAGTTTGTTTCGAATGAGGATACTGTTGGGAGTTGCGAGCAGAGAATGAGGAAAAAACTTCCATCAACGTTGGTTGTGCCGACCGTATTCAAGTGCAGAGCTGGGATGGAATTACTCTTTAAAGGACATATTTTCACTTTTTTTTCTTTCGATGGAGTGTGTTCTGCACGCGATGAATTTTGAAATTCATGGAATGATGAACCCGGGTCTGCGTATGGAATGTGGCCCAAAAATGGAAAAATGGGTGAGAAAAATATGCCAATACTATATATAAGAATATTAACTGTCACTTTTATTCCAATATTCGAACATTGAAAACAATTTTAATTATAATTTTGTGACGTGGGTTTCAATTTATTTTATTACATAGTTTGATAACTTAATTTGAGTTAACTTATCTTTATATAAAAAAAGATTTAGTCATTTCCAACTTAACAAATTAACGATAAATTTAGTCTTTATTTTTGTAAAATTTTGAGCGATCTTATTTCCTCTTGATTTAATGTTAGATTTTCCACTTAAAAATTAATTTTTACTTTTAATATTATAGATAGTTAGTTTCTTTTTTCTCCTTTCAGTCCAGCTTTAAATTCCAACGAAAAATTTGGCTTCATACGTACATACAGTTTTGCCCTGCTATTTAGCCCTGCTTTCGCCTCAAAATAGTGAGAATCCAGCATTATTTCATCACCTTGTACATACATGTATGTATTTTAAAAAAATCATATGTATTCATAAACATTCATTTATGCAAATACTTAATTAATTTATGTACAATTGAAAATACTTAAATCATGGAATCAGAAATAGAAATAGGACGAGTCTTGGCAAGTCTCAAGGTCTTGACCTCCCAACACCATCAATTTGGAGCCCCTCCCCCTTCAGTTTGGGCCACCAACGGAAATGTCCTTGGCATGTCCATTCGAACTACTCTTGCTATTTTTCCGCGACAGCCGGCGGAACGACAGCCGTGAGAAACCGGAACCACCCCTGGAAAAAAAGGACAGACTGGTGGAGCTCTTGGACATGAAGGGTGGAATGGAGGATGGAGGAATCTTAGCGGGCAAAAACGGTCGAACTTTTGTTGCCCAGGTCTCTCTCAGTGTAGCGAGTTCGTCGGTCACTTTAGACGAGAACACCCGCCTTTGCTTGACCTCTTGGGCTAGTTGTTCGTCGGACAGACTATAGGGCCACTCGATGCTCTGCAGGTGCCCGTACTTATCCTTGATGGCGAGTTTGAAACCAGGGGAGAAGATGTCGGTTGTTGCGTCGAAGGGCTGGTGAACCGGGCACGCGTTGTTGGCCGGCAGGTAGTGCCACGTGTACACGTCGCCGTAAGTCCGACCGTGGGCCATGTAGTCAGCCCAGTGGTGGCAGTTGCATCTGGAATCGAAAGTTGACAACCAGACTAACGAAAAAAGACGATAAAAAATGAACCGAAACTGCATGTAACAAGGTGGAGATATGGTACTGGGTCCACACCATTTCAAGACCGAGAAATTCCAAAAATTACAATTAAAGTAAAAAAATTTAAAAATTTTCCCTCTCAGTTTTGTACTGGCACTCATTAGAGTTAAACATTTTTTGACTCAAATTGTAATTTTTGGAATTTCTCGGCTTTGATTTCCCTGCGAATTGGTGTGGACCGAGCACTGTGTCTCCACCTTGTTACAACGATACTAATAAAGTTCCGAAACTAAGATTCAAGCAGTAACGTCATTTCACCAGAACCTTGGGTTGGGGAAGTAGTGACCTGACATGACCCCAAACTGCCGAACATGCTATACCTAAGTTAAGAAAATAATCAAGTTTTCAGAATTTGATCAATTTTCCTCGATTCTGAAACGCGGGGGGTTGGGGGCAATGCCCCCGCTAAATGACGTCCCTAGATTCAAGATCCATCGTCGAATTTTTTTCGAATGACCTTGATCGATATCGATTATTCTCTACCTCAGCAAGGTCATCTATCGATCGAGGTCTTTAGATAACCATCCAACAATCCAGGCGCCCAGGTGATAGACGCGTCTAATTTTAAGGCTATTCCTTACTCAATCATTGGTATTACTAACGTTTCAGTAGCACATGGAGTAATTTTTTTAGCAAAATGAACCAATTTTAGTGGACTTTTTTTTTCTGTACCACTCGATGACCTAGCAAGACAGTGCGTAAAATTTCTATTTCAGTCAGTGTTAGTTTCTCTGTGTAGTGAGCAGGGCCTCCTTAATTAAAAAATTGTATGCGTGATCTAGTGACTCTGCGCTTTCCTGATCATTAGTGGCATGACAACTACGACATCGAAGAACGCACCGACACTAACACCGGAAACTTTAACTAGCTTTTAGTCTCAATTTTCCCCCTTCTCCCCCCTCTCCCTCTCCTCCTTTTCCCCTCTTCCTCTCTCCACATATGTCGTAAAAAAATAATACAGATTTTTCTGGCTGCTTTCAGTGGCGTGGGGTTATTATCGATATACATGGATTTATCTGTCATTTAAAACGATGGAAAAGGATCGATATACAGGGTGTTGCAGCAAACACCTTAATAATCGATCCTTATCATAACTTCAAATGGGGAAATATCGATAATCGATAATTCACGCCCCGACACTGGTTTCTTTTTGCAACAAATTTAAATCGTTACAACAAAGAAGTTGCACCCAGTCATCGCATTTTCTGTACCCGCACTATTTGGTAACATTTAATTTCAAATACAATCATATTTCTATCAAATTCTGAATTTCTTTACCATAGTATCAAATAGGGTTAAAGCAATAGAGGTGTTCGTCCACCTGGTCAGAAATTGATCATATTTTGCACAATGCTGGCCGATTTTATTTATTTTTCGACAAATTCGCTTAAAATATTGACCTTGAATAAGTCACGCGAAAATAATAAGGGGAATAATGAGGAGGAGGACACAGATCATTGTAATGGTAGCTAGGCGTTCTCGCATGACCTCGTCCGACTTGAAATATTGCACGGTGCCAATTGAAAATAGTGCTTGCATCGTCATCGCCCCCTTCCTTGAGGAAAAAACTACCTCTCAGCAGTTTTCAGACTATCAATAGGTACCAGGAACGTCATACGAAGACAAAAAAAAATCAGACTATTTTTTGAGCTCGGAATGTTCCAAGCTGATGCTCAGAGACGGTTTTTACATCCTTTAGAAAAAATTCCTTGGAACGACGTCATGTCAGAGAACAAAGTACCCACTGCGAGGTTAATGCTCCATCACTAAAAAAAAAAAAGAATCACAATCTCAAGTATACTTCTAGCTGATTTTGGCGCCAGTTATAACAGTAGTTACACCAGACAGAGGTATAGTTGATCCTATCACACTTTCGGCTGACTGAGCGGTACCTTTGGCTGGTGCAGCTACTCCTACAACTGGCGCCTAAATCAGCCAGGAGTATAGTTGGGATTGTGATACTTTTTTTTCCGTGACTCATGGCGTAATTGTTAATTGCGGTGCTCCTTGTATTGAACAAATTTACGTAAAATTTGAATGACCAGATAAAAGAATATATATATGTGAGTCGCTTTTATAGCGCTCTTTGGCGCTGTGCGACGCCTAATCGCCACAAAGCTCGGTCTTCCCACAGGTCATCAGGGAGTTGACAATCTCTTATCTCATTTAACACCCCCTGTCGCCAACCTCTCACTGGGCGTCCCCTACGTCTCCTCCCAGGAGGAACCCAATCAAGCATCTTTTTTGGCAGCCTCTCTTCCGTCATCCTATTGACATGACCATACCAAACAAGTTGTTTGGTCATGACGTCGAACACGATGTCATTTTCGACTTCCATTATCTGACGCACTCTATCATTACGGACCCGATCTCTCCTAGAAATTCCTGCTGACCTTCTCCAGAAATCCATCTCCGTTGCTCTTAGCATATCCTGTGTCCGTTTCTTCAGCTGCCAAACTTCACATCCGTATGTTAATATACTTTTGACTACAGCGTTGTATATCCTCCTCTTGTTATCTTTGGAAATCCGCTGATCCCAGAGGGTTCCATTTAACATCGCTATAGCCTTCCTTGCTAAGGTGTTCCTTTCCCTGATAGCTTGATCCGTCCTTCCATCCTGGGTCAACCGCACTCCCAAGTACTTAAAGTGCTCGCAGCCTTTGATCTGCTGCCCATCCTCCAACTCAATGCTTTGCTGATCACCGCCAAAAGTCATCTTCTCAGATTTGGATATGCTGACTTCCAGACCCCACTTCCGATACTCTTCTACTAGCTTGCGCATCATGTATTCCGCGTCATCTTGATCTTGAGCAACCACCACCTGGTCATCAGCAAAGCACAGAGTAAACAGAGTTTCGAGATCACCCAAGGGGACACCCATACCGGAGCATTTCTTTTTCCATTCTTTTAGCACGCACTCGAGATAAATTTTAAATAATGTTGGCGACAAACAACATCCCTGTTTTAAACCCTTAGTCACATAAAATCCAGCTGACAACCCCCCATGGCACTTAACTTTGGTAAAACTCCCTTTATAAAATCGCTTAACAGCGTCAATCAACCCCCCGTTAAAATTCGATTTTTCCAAGGCCTCCCAAAGTTTCACCAACGGCACGCTGTCATACGCCTTCTGGAGATCCACAAAAATTAAATGCAGTTCCTGAGCTACGGCCATTTTCTTCTCAATGACCTGGACAATAACAAAGAGGTGATCTATCGTAGACCTGCCAGCTCTAAAACCAGCCTGCTCCTCTGCTTCGTGATCCTGCCATTCGTCCTCGATCTTCGCTTTCAGTATCTTCCCGTACACTTTGCTTATTGTCCCGGTCACTGAGAGCCCCCGGTAGTTGTTACAGTCGTCCTTCCTTCCCTTCTTTTTGTGGATGGCCTTGATCCAAGACTCCTTCCACTCCCTTGGTACCTCGTCACCCCTGATGCATTGTTGCATCAATTTTCTGAGGCACTCAAAGAGCTTGGCAGTCCCGTACTTGACCAACTCGACAGGAATCCCACCAGGACCCGGTGCTTTGTCATTAATTAGCTCTTTAACCGCTTTAATTATGTCACAAGTGTGGATCTCCAAGTTGTTCATTCTTCCGTTGTCCGTGCTGTTGTCTCGAAACTCTGGGCGCCTTTCCGTCAAAAGATCTTTAAAATGATCCTCCAGTTTTTTAAGTGATATCGGAGAAACGATGTCGCGCTTCATGTCTCTACGTAAACCTTTAATTAACTTCCAGCTCTCAGCACTTTTTCTCCCCCCTAGGTAGGTGTTAATTCTAGAACAGTTGCTTTCCCAAGCTTCATTCTTCTTCCGTGTTATGAGGCTCCTAACTTTAGACTGAGCTTTCCTGTAAGCAACTTTATCTTCAGTCTTTTTAGACTTAGATAAAAGAATACTTCCACTAAAATACAGCCCAAAATCAGAGAGTCATTAAAAGTGCTCGTTTAGGAAGCTGTAATCGATTTTTTGTCGAACAAATTGGTACCTCAGTAGATTTGTTAACTACAAACCGCAACCTCAACAGCTTTGCACAATGCAAATTTTCCTATGTTGATATTACTTCGAAAATTCCTTCCTCCTACTGGAAGTAGGCGGTGGGGACGTCATGTAAAAAGTTGGCGGTAGACATTGGAAAGTGTCATTGCCCAATGATCTCGGTTAAGATAGATATACGGGTGATTGTAAGTCACAGAGCACCCCAGCGCGCTGAAAGCTGCTCAAGTGTACATTTACACATAAATTCGACTTGATATCGCTCTATCAGGGAAATAATGTTAAGGTTTACAAATTCAAGAAAAAACATTTCTAATTTCAGAAAACAACATTTACACATTTCAACTTCAGCCATACTATGCAAAAGGTGCACAGTGGATCGAGTCAATCAGAGAGGTCGGATATGAAATGTAAAACTAAGACTGCAAATGTTGATGTTTAATTCGTCTTATTTCAAATTTAAGGGGTGTATTTCAAAGAAAATTTTAGGAGAAAACCAATGGAGCCACTTTTAAAACCTTAGAGTTTTGTATTAACGGAGTTATGAGCTTTTAAAGTTTCCAAATTTTGTCCGACCTCCCTCATTGACTTGTTCCATTGTGAGGCAATGGAAGGATCCCGGTTCTCTGCGGTCCGGTATTATTATCCTTAGGGATTTTACTTTCCAGTAGTTTGATAGGAGATTTTAGTTTTTGGACAGAATGTTAGTGAGAATAAACTCTCTGATTCTTTGAAGTGTATTTGAATTCGATCCAAAACACCGTGTATAGTCAATGTTTCTGAAAAATGGTAATTCGAAGCGCCTTCAAACGGAGAGCAGGCAAATTGTTGCACGTGTAAGCTGCTTTAATCTACGACCCAGGTCAGCATCCTGAGGTGTTAAATCCTCATTGGCAGTTTTTGATCATGTTCGGTTAAAGATTATCTTCAATTGAACGTAAGTATGCAAAACTCTAACTATTTGCAAATGAATGTAATAACTATTTGCATAGAATTTGCGTACCTCACAATGCTTCTTGATCTTATTTATTTGCTTTTACTTATTATTTTTTGTGAAAATACACCCAATTTTGCACATGTATCATACTATTCTCGATTATTCGCGCTTTTTAAGTGCTGAACCTTGCGAATGAGCATTTGGATCACGTAACCGATTACACTGATCAGACAGTTTAGTAAATGGATCACATTCACATCGTCAATTTTGAAAATCCCTGAGGTAACATCTCGTTGTAGACAGAAGAACGCAAAAAAACTTCACTGCTACCAAATTACCACTCGCAAAATTCGATTTTACGAGGAAACGGTCGGCGTTTCTAACTAAAAATTTCACTGATTTTTTTTCCGCAATCACGCGAGAAAATCATTGTAGTACGCAAGTAAAAAATTAATGAAGTACGACAGGAAGTCTGCCACGTCGCAAACCGAGATGCGTGATTGCGGACTTACACCGTCCATGTGTTCTGCCGTGCTAAGGAAGAACGCCGTGAACATTCGGAAGTTGCCTAATTTACTTGACTTGAGGAAAATATTCATAATTTTACCCGGAAATTTGCGTTTTATGAAAGGAAATTTAGCAACGCCTGAAAGTTCATACGGCGTTTTTCCTTGGCACGGCAGTATTAGTGCTTAAGAGGGACGCCATATTTTGTGTCAGAACGGCATGCGGTATATCGCATCAATTGGCTCCATTTTTTCAGCTACTCGTCATTTTTCTCCAATATAGAGATCGCAATTCTGTGGTCAGGAGACTAAAGCACTCACTTACCAATTTCAACAAAGAAATTCAACGTAATAAAGGCGTGGTTTTTTCAGAGAGAAAACATCGCATTCGATACTGATATCGACACTGCACTCGAATGCGATATTTTTCTCTTAAAATACCACACCTTCATTTCGTTGAATTTCTTTGTTAAAATTGGTAAGTGAGTGTTTTAGTCTCCTGACAACAGAATTGCGATCTCAAAATTGGAGAAAAATGACGAGTAGCTGAAAAAATGGAACCAATTGATGCGAAAATAGCATGCCGTTCTGACACAAAATATGGCGTCCATCGAATCACCTTAATTTCCTACAGTTGTCAGTGGTCAATCGGGATTCGCAGAGCGCTCAGGTGCGCTGCTTAAGAGGCTTGTATGTATGTATCGTTATCACTTACGAAAAAGTCTCAAACGGGACAGGCATCCTCCACATCCTCCTGGCCAAACGGGTGCCGGCGCGTCCCGTGAGCGGCCGGCCGCGAACCTTCGGGTGAACGACACAGACTCGTCTTCCGGAGATCCGTTGTACCGAGGGAAGGATGTCGACGAAACCCCTCTGCGGGAGGATGTAGGACTCCTTCACGATGTGCCACAGCTCCGTGTCCGAAACGGCGAAGAACCAGTGCCGGGGTTGCGATTTTGGATCCGTTAATCTCCTTCGGTACCATAATAAACAGAAGCGTAACGCATTTCATTACTGACTTAATTTTCGCGCCGCACAATAGGTCAAGTCAATAGGAGAAGTCGGACAAAGTTTGGAAACTTTAAACGCTTATAACCCCGATAATACAAAATTTTGCGGTTTTAAAAGTGTTTTGATTGGTTTCCTCGTGAAATTCTCTTCAAGAAGCACCCCTTAAAGTTTAAAATGTGACGAAGTAAACATCAAAATTTGCAGTTTTAGTCATAAATTTCATGTCCGACCTCTCTAATTGACTGGATCAACTGTGCACCGTATCGGATGAGTGTAACGACGAAATCACCCACTTTTAACATCTCGCATAATATGAATAACTCTATCGAAAACATCTCTCACATTAGCTGCCTAATGAAATCGTTTTAATCGTTTTGATTCGATCTAATGAATCCATATTTTCACAGAAAGGAACTAACCTGCAAAATACTAAAAATAAATAATAACTTTTTGGTTGGATTCAGTTTCTCTGCCACTTAATACGAGGACTTGAAGACCCCTTTTGCTTCAAGAAAACTGGTTCCCCAATGATAAACACAGCTCCCATTCATTCTCTTGAAGTGACCTTTGTGCAATACTTACAGAAAATCATGCACCAAAAGGAAGCGCGCAAATAATTATCAGTGGCGTGGCGTGAATTGCGATATATCGATTGTTATGCCATTTAAACCTATGATAAAAGATCGATTATCGGGGTGTTCGCAGCGGACACCTTAGTAATCGATTCTTTACCATAGTTTCAAATGGCGAGATATCGATAATCGATTATTCACGCCACGCCACTGATAATTATATACAGAAATTAAAAGGCAGTTCTTGTCATTAACTGATTTCCGACATCCGACAAAGTACTAATAATGTCTGAAATATGTACCTGGAACCGCGACTTTAATTTGAACTTCACAGAAAAGTACCAAAATTTTGTGGGAATTGAGGAGTGTGCTCGTCGGTGATTTGCAGCCCTATCGGAAAGATAAAAAGAATAATCACGGTCTTAATTGATTTCAGGTACATCCCGAGAAATTGAGGAAATGAACTCGCTGCAATTTTGCTTACATTCTGCAGTAAAATTACTTTCTTAGACAACAGAAAGAATCCATGCACAACTAAAAATGTATTACATTTTCTTACATGAATTCGATGTGCTTTGGAGCAGGAGTAAACAAAAATACAGAAGTTTATTAAACATGAAGTATTTCCGTTGAAAATCTGAGGTGAAATTTTGCCACGTTCATTTCAATTAAAAGCCTCCTCCTCACATAATAATAGACCTCTAGACAATGTATGAATTTAGATACAACACTCCTTGTTTTTTCCTCAAAATATTACGTGGAAATTGAGTCGGACACTGGGTCTCACAGTCTGAAGAACAACTCCTTAACAATTAACATTTACAATTAACAATTACGCATTACAATTACAATTACACATTTACAATTTACGTTTTCAATTAATATTTGCTTGATGCCAAAACAAATGACGTGGTTTGTATAATCTAACTACCATTTTATCTGTGTTCAAAAGACATGTTAATATCTTGCTCAGGATTTAATTTCCGACCTTCCCGTTGTGGGAATAGTATTTTATGTAAAATTTTGAAGAGAAAACCGGTAAAGTTTTCTTCTAATTCAGACCTTGGCTAGTGGCCCATTATATTAGTTTCCTTTTTGCTCGATGATGATGTCCATTTCATCACCAAAAAAAGTCCGAAAGCAATAAATTAAGTGTTATACTTAAAGTATTACCATTTGGTAGAAAAAGAGATTATATCTCCAAGCTCGAATTTGAGTTCCTTGCAATTCGCAAATACCAAATCATTAGGCTGCTCCGTCCATAGGCCAGCTGTCGTATTCAACCAGTATGTCCACGGTAAAAGAATCCACAACCCTAGCATATGCGAGAAAATCGACGGCGTAAGTTGGCAATCACATATATCGTTTGTGGTGTCTGAAAATCTCCGCCTCTATGTTATTTTTTTAGAGGAAAACAAATTGACATCATTCCTTGAAGTTTTTGCAGAATTTTCTTCGCACAGAGAAGAAAAATCACGGCAATTTTGAAGAATTGCCGTAGAGTAGTTTTTCGTTTAAAAATAAAGTATGACAGGAAGTCTGCGACGACCCAAACTGAGTTATGTGATTGCCAACTTAAACCGTCAAAATATATTATTTCTGATGGAGAATATCAAAATTAGGAAAAATACACAACGCAACAGCACTTTTAGTCTCACACGATTAAATTAATTATCGAACAGGTCATTAGGTATTTCAATACGCCCGCGATAGAAAATACCAAGGCTATGAATGAGATGTATGAATTAGCCGAGGACAAATTTTTCAGCTCCTTTATGAAATTTTTAGTTTACATAATTATATTTCATCGTGGAGTCATCATTTTTGTCATTGTAACATGTGCCAAAAATGTTTAAAATTTCTTTTGTCACCAAAAAAAGATTCTATCTTACAGCCAATGGAAACAAATATTAATTGAAAAAAATATGTGCATGATAGTGATCCTAATCATCTCCCGGTCTTCGAGGTATAAAAGAAGAAAAAAAAATTGAAAGCTGCAGCTGCTCAGACTAACATTACTCATATTACGGATGTAACATTTAATTAAATTTCTCAATCCCGAGATATTTTTTTCGCAGCACTATAAGTCACTTTATTTCGCGTTTGAATTCAGTATAAAATAATTTGTTAGTTTGTTGTCACTTATTTTTGAAATTTATACAAAGTATTTTAATCCCGTTTGTACTTACTCATTCTCAGAATGGTTTTAGAGCAGAAAAAAACTGCTGAATGAAACTTTCTGCAAGCAATCTCTATATGGAAATCTCGAAAACGCACAGCAACTGTCAGGTAGAGATTTTCACTTATTTTGGATGTGGGTGATATTTATAAGAAAATCGAAAGTAAGGAAAAAACCTTTTAACATTAGGAGTAAGGTTTCACGTAGCATCATTGCACTGTCATGCTAGCAATGCTACCATGCCGTTTCAAAACTAGAATGACGACAATCTACTGCATATTAGAACGCTCAAACATGGCATAAATAGTGAAGACTGGGCTGGTTTGGAGACATTTTGTACGTAAAAAAAAAAAAAAAAAAAAAAAAAAAAAAAAAAAAAAAAAATCCAATTTAAAATTAGATTGAAAAATAGAATAAAAACGACCATATGCATTGAATGTGCGTCAAGCGAGCATATGTCATGTATAATTTTAATGGAAGCGTAAAAGACTCAAAATCGTTTCGATTCCGGCGTGAACAGCCTAAAAAGCTAACCTTTTAATTTGTATCACACTATTTATCAAGAAAAAAAGGAGAGAAAAAATGCAATTTAAAATTAGACTTAAAATAGAATGAAAACGGTCGTATAAATGTGCGTCAAACGAGGACATGTATCATGTATACTGTTCAAGAAAGTGTAAAAAACTCAAATTTTAACCCTTTCGACTCCGCCGTAAATAACCTAAGAAGCTAACCTTCCATCACACGAACTAACTATTAATCTAAACAAAAATGGGCCAGGAAGTACTGACAATTAAATTCTCTGTTGTTATATTTGGAATTTTCAAACCAGCAGAGAACACATGTTTGAATACTTCTCAAGAGAAGAAAGTCAGCAAAAATTTACCTCAATACTTTGAGAAAAAACTCCTTCACTCAGAAAAACTTGTGTGTTCTTGTGTTCCTTTTGGTTAATATAGGAAGTGAAACACAAACCAACCCAAATTTTCTGTTGATTTTGGTACAGTTTGCGGTGAATTTAGCGCAGAAAACAATGCAGAGATGGCGAAAAACCCCGCAGCGTCAACCGAATGCGGGTTATTTTTGTGTTTTACTTCCCGTATAATAACTAAACTTTTGTGTTCTCTCTGTGTATCTGAACAATAAATACGCCATCTTTCACCACCTATTCCGACGCAATCAACATTTTAAGTCGCCGATTTACAAGCTCAGTGGTTCATGTTTGAACCAATGCTACTTTTTTCAGCACCCAGTTCAAATATGAACACTTTTCAGCTATACCCACAAGTTCGCGTCATCAAAATTCTGCCGTGCGAAGGAAAAACGCCGTATGAACATCCAGGTATTGCCAAATTTCCTTTGATAAAACACGAGTTTCCTTGTGAACTTATGAATATTTTTTTTCCAATTTTTCAGATGATTTTGCTCGAAATTTCACCTGAAGCTCCTGAAAATTTCAAGGAAAAAGATTCATTATTTCCATCAAAAATGAACATTATATGGAAGGAAATTTGGCAACTCTCGAATGTTCATACGTCCTTCTTCCTTAGCGCGGCAGAATTCGTCTCTCCTCTGACATAAGGGCGTATCTCGATTCCCGCATGAGCTAAGAGCATGGATTTATATATGAATTAGGGCTCATGTGGAAATCGAGATACGCCCTTTCGTCAGAGGAGCGACGAATTCACCTCCCTGTGAAATCATCTTCTTCGCCCCCGACTTCGGCCTCAGACTCAACGTTAGAATCACACTGCTAGATTGCCGTGCTAAGGAAGAACGCCGTATTAACATCCGAGAGTTGCCAAATTTCCCTTGATAAAATATGTATTTTTGACGAAAATTATGCACATTTGTCTTTGAAATTTTCAAATATTTTAGATTAAATCGCGTACAAATTTGTCTAAAAATTTTGGAAAAAAATATTCACAATTTTCCTAGTAAATTCGGTTTTTATCGAAGGAGACTTGGCAACGCCTGAAGGTTCATACGGCGTTTTCCCTTAGCACGGCAGTAGAGCGACGATTCCTCCCTTGGAAGCTAGACAGAGAAGGGGTTGGTGCCTGGTGATCGGCGAATTAGCACCGGTGCTGGGAATCGAATTAAGCTCGTTGATATGCTACGCGAGTGTATTCGTGCGGCTGCGTCTGTATTTTTCACGCTTTTTCCTCGCTGTGGATTTGAGTGCGTGAGGAACATGCATCGGCCTCGGGCACGGCGCCATACATTATGTATCACCAAGTATTGCAAGCTGCGAGGCCTCGCCATTTGCATAAAAGCCCGCGATTTTGTGGATCGTGGTCTCCTGCGAGAAAATTTCAGTCTGCCGTGAGGGGTGTAGTCTGAAAGCACACGCGGCTTTGGTTGCTCTCAGGAAACTTTAAATCATGGTGTCCTGCTATGGTGTGCTATGGAAAAACGCAGTAACATCATGGGAAGATTGAAATCCAGGATTCCAGACCATGATCCCATTTTTATTTTGAGGCTGGTTTTTGTCTATATCACTCGTTCATATTTTCGTCGCTTGGCTAACATAGGGGCGTAACTACACTTTGAAATGAGCCCGGAAAAGCATTGAAATGTATGGACGACAGGGTTCATAGCAGAGTGTAGTTACGCCCTTATGTTAGGTAGGCGACGTTTTGTCGTAATTGTGACGGCCTTACAGGGAAACCACATATCCAAGTTTGCGTCGTTGCAGAATTTTTGTCATACTTTATTTTATAATTGTAAAAATAAATACCTAAGGTAATTAAATCTTCATACTCTGTGTCATTATTCTTCTGTGCTTGAGAATAATCTTTGAAAATACCAAATGTCAAAGTTGGCTCATTTTACTTCAGAAAAATAAAGCATAAGCAGGACGCAGTCAAGTATCGCTTTTCGAATTAAAGCTATTGTTCAGTATAACTCTTGAAGAGTGTGCTCCTAAATAAAAATATGTGATCCTTCTATTTGAAGTTAAAAAAAAAAAAAAATTACTGCAAATTATTTTTTCATTATTTCTGAATGCTTTCAATTAAGACTCTTTACAAAATTAGGAAAAAAAATGTAGGATTTTGGGCCATGAATACAACACATTAATTTACGTAGGCGCACAGCAGTGTTTGGGCCTGAGTCATAATCATAGAAAGCCACGACGAAAATGGACCGACTGCTTTCGTTATCAGCTTTGAAAGGGTAAAATTAATTTTAAATCTCATACAAACGTTCGAAAGGTTGTCAAATTGACTTCAATAAATCGTATGATAAATAATCAGATTGAGTCCATCCAGAAAAAAAATCAAGCAAAGTTGGTATTATGAGAAGTAGAAATTAAGTTACGGATGAAAATACGAGAACCTCTAGTTTTAAAATTGATTAAAATGTTTATGCAGTTTAACGGTTTGCATCGGACTTATTATCATTGTTTCTTTAGAGGGAGAATAAGGAAAATATAACGTGTATGTCTGCAATCTGAATTAGCCTTACCATAATCTATTTTTTCTAATTTTTTCTCATGTTCTATCACTTCATGAAATCCTAAGTAACATAATGCCTGAAAATATTCTGTGAATTTTTTAGTCTCGATTATGCAGAATAACTTTAAACTATTTTAAAGCGGAAATTTGCTTATTTCTTAGTTCATATAGTGAACTAAGAGAGCGAATTAGGAAACATATGATACAGTCAGCCCAATTTGATTAAAACTACCCTAAAATTAGTGGCTCACATGCACGAAAAATCGGAAATATCAAATTAGTCAATTTCTGATAAAAACTGACAACAGGGGACGTAATGAAAGGGTGAGATGGAGCGGTGCCTTACGGTGAAGACTAGAGTGATTGTTACACTGTGTAATTATTAACCCGTAGTAAAACGGAAGCCCCGAAAATCATTACTTACAATTACCGGTCGCTGTGAATCGTAGCCAGTTGATAATGGAACCATTATTTCGGGACTGCGAGAGGCGTAGCTCGGTTCTTGTTTACAAAATTGAATTTTTCGAGCTCGAGGGAAGATGGCTAGGTTTAGATCCGTTACACCACCCTCCACTCCCCGTGCCGAAGATGGAGGCGCAGATAAATATATCCGCTGCATGGACGAATTTTTGCACGCGTCAAATGTTAAAAATTACTGTAAACCGAAA